CCCACCTGAAGGTCCCCCAAACAGCAATGTGAAACCCATGCCGACCTTTATTCCGTCTCATTATTGATTTGGCAACTTTTCGACCGTCAGTCTTGAAGAAGATTCAGATTCGGTTGAAACGTTGCCAGGTCAGCCACAACTGTTAAACCTTTCGCTAAAGACTGTGGTACTTCGTAACAACCTGTGAAATTAAACCAACCAGCAATTGATTTGTGCAATTTGGTGAACGGTAAATCACAGTGTTTGTCATCCTGCCTAAACAGACAATCTTAATTTCTATCTCGGGGAACCAAGAAATGAATAATGGATTTAGGTAGCAATCCTTACTGAATGTACCTGTCCGTATCCGGCAGAAAAAACAGGTCACTGTAAGCTCTTGCGTCAGCAGCAGGTTCAGAGCTTTCCAACTGGTGTCTAGGTTCAATAAGGAACCTCAACAACACCTAAAACCACAATAAGATACAGCCGTGCAGACATCAGCAAAAATTAAAGGAGAAACCATGGACCATATTCTACCTATTACTGGGAGAATAACATCCAGTCCAAGGGTAGGCACCCTTCAGGGGTCCAGCACAGGGGCAAAGCATCAAGGGAGATGTAGTCCATAATATCTTGAATGCCAAAGGTTGCCTACCTCTGATATAGACACCCCCTCACCAAACCAGGGAATTTATTTTTCCCACCTTATTCCAGCCACTTTTGGGATAGCCAACCAGTGCAATCAATTTTTATTATTGCCAAATCCTTTCATCGGGAGGAAAGATATGCAAACCAATGTACAATTAAAAACTGCTAGCTGTACTCAGGATTTCTAGACCATGCAAAAATAATTCAACAGACCATAGGTGGAAAACGTAACTGCCATGGCGGTTTATATTTACCATCCTTGTGTCACGTTAAAATCACCAGGTTTTACATAAAACACACATGAACTTGCTTTACATATCATAGTAACAAGTTCCATATCACTGAGCAGTTCTATTGCGATTCAAAAAAAGTCCAACATCTAAAGACGAAACCGTAAGACATTACCCATCATGCAGCATCAATAAACCATTGAGAAAATAAAGAAAGAGGGATTTATTGCACCTAAATAAGTGTTTTCTGCACCCTTTTAGCTATTACATTACTTACAAAGGTGGGTTTAAAAATAAAAGTAGGATCACAAATTTTGATGAGGACGTTTCCTGAAACGTGTTGTCAGCTATAACCATTTTTCTCCAAACACCATAATCCGCTTTCTCTCCCTCATTGAACACAAGAGAGGCTGTAAGATGCTCACTTATTTTGATTCACATCATGCCGGCAACCACCAGTGGGTCAATAAACACAAGAAAGAGGACCCAGTCGCTTTAAAAACACACATAAAAATATCCCTTAGGGGTCCATTTACTAAAAGACAAAATTGTAGTAAATTGAAAATCTAATGGCAAAATTCAGACTAAAATAGAGAAGACATGACTGCAGTTGAAGGTTTTTTTTTTCCCAAATCAGTTACTTCGACCTATATTTTGAAACCCAATTTTCCATTTACAATTTAGAGAATAAGCCGTTTAAGATCAATTATCAGAGCAAGGCTTAACAAAATCCTGGAGCCGTAATAGTGCTTCTTTAGGTTCCTTACTTTGGGGGCTATGTAGCAATTAGCTTGCGGTCCATGGGTAAACATGTCGCCTAGCGGCAAAAAGAAATGTCGCAGTAGGTAGGGTTTTTTTTTTTAAAACCTATTTTTGTGAGTGATCAAGAGCTCATTATACTCTGAAACTGCTATGTTTACAGAAAAAAGGGTTAATCCTAGCTGGACCTGGCACCCAGACCACTTCATTAAGCTGAAGTGGTCTGGGTGCCTATAATGGTCCTTTAAGAGGCCACTATAGTCATCTACACTACAGCTTAATGTAGTTGTTCTTTTGTCTACATCCTGACCTTGCAGATTTTTAATGTAAACACAGTCTTTTCAGAGAAAAGGCAGTGCGCTTACATTACTGCCCAAGAACACCTCTAGTGGCAGTTGTTGATTCAATGCATCTCTATGAGGAGATGCTGATTGAGGCACTGTTTTCCTGCACATGCGCAATAGCCTTCCAAAGCATTGCTGTGGGAAAGCATTAGATTGGCTGAGATCATCAAATTTGATCTCGGCACAGAGGTCGGATCAGCGGCTGCAAGAACAGTGCAACGCTGGAAAAAAAAAAAAAGGCGAGTTTAAACACCTTTTTAAAATAAAAAGGGGGTCCAGACATCTAAACTGTTATTTTACCACTATATAGTGTCAGAAATTCATGTTTTTGATCCTGACACCATAGTGTTCCTTTAACGATTTCATTTATTTCTATGAAAAGATCTATACAAATGCTAGCCAAATGTTGAAATACTTTTAAAGGGGCACTCCAGAATGAATCCACACCCCACACGCAGTATGGAGATAAAGGCTAAAAATAATGTATAATTGAGATTTAAATTAAAGATTGACATTGCAATCCAGTTCAATTCTTAGCCAATCCAGGCTATCCCATTGTTTTCCTTGGGAGCTTACATATCTAGTAAACCCATTCCAAATTTCTAGAATCTGTAGTTCAGAGTTCAATAGTGTTTTTTTCCCGAAAAAAACTTAGAGAAGCTAATGGAAAGTACAGCGTGGTTCTTAATTCTTTGCAAAATAGTTTAATAAATTGTTTGGGGTTTTTTTTTTCCACAGGTGACGCCATTTACTGGATGTTGCCCAACGGCTGCACTGATTGTTTTTCATGAATAAATGTACTCACAGTTGGACTTGTGCATATAGCCAAGACAAGAACATTAGTATTTACACGGTGTGCACACACAAACTTCACATGAAGCCTAATGGACAAGGCAAAGCATGGGGTTATAGCAGTATCAATTAATGCATATAGTACAGTCTGAATTGAAGAATTTGCTATGGTACATATGCTTTGCAGGTACTGTGTGTGTCGACAAGGACTGCATGCTTAAAAGGTCAGTCTATGCGCCATAACCACTTTGCATAATTGGAAAGTATATGATACTTACATCAACCTGAGCCTATACTCATGCCTGGAGTGGTCCATTGCAAGAGCGAATAGTTTAAAAAATAAATAAAAAATGCAGCTGCTGTAAAAGACAGCCAACCAAGTCTTTGCAAGGCAGGTTCTTTGGGCAATTGCTGCCTCTTAAAGGACCACTCTAGACACCCAGACCACTTCAGCTTAATGAAGTGGTCTGGGTGCCAGGTCCAGCTAGGGTTAACCCATTTTTTTTATAAACATAGCAGTTTCAGAGAAACTGCTATGTTTATGAATGGGTTAAG